AAATCTATTTTTGATATAGTTTTTAAAATAAATAAATATTACATATATTTTTATTTAAAATAAAGTGAGGTAGATTTTGGGTTATTGGAAATGGAAACTTAATGAGCAAATTACTTAGTGTTAACAAAGCCACAAGTTTTGATTTTAATTTTGAAAATTTTTTTAACTTTTATATTTTCATAATTTGAGGATTTTTTAAAATAATTTTTTGAAGTTTAGATTTATTTGAAGAAAATTTCAATTTAAACTATTAAAAAAAAGAAGAAGTAAATTTGCAATATGAAGAGAGAGACTGTAAAGGAGGAGAGAGAAGATGAATGGAAGAAATTGCAATTTAAATTGACCACATCACCCACCCAATACCATATCAGCACCAAGCCATTTCTTGGTAATGAAGTAACAACGATGTGGACGGAAAGATGACATTTGATGAGGTCATCGTCAGCAGAAAGGCTGATTTGCGGGTTTTGTCAAGTGGAGGGGCTGATTTGCTCTACTTTTAGGTAGAGGGGCTGATGTGCCACAACAATGGACGTAGAGGGGCTGAATTGCACCTTCTGCTTTTTCCAATATACCACAATCTATATATTACAAGGCTTTTCTCGTTTTGTGAGTAACAAGGTTTAAAATTATGATTCAATCAAAAGTTTATAATTAATCAAAATTTCTCGATTTAAGATTTAAATTAAATTTAAAGATCAACAAACTAAATATTAGTTATTATATAATTTCATTTGTAAATATTTTGTATAGTTTTTTTTTTACATATTACTTTATCTACAAATATAAAATTTTAATATTTAAATTATTTCATTTGTAAATATTTTGTATAGTTTTTTTTTTACATATTACTTTATCTAAAAATATAAAATTTTAATATTTAAATTAATATTTAATATATTTTTATTAATTTTAATTAGTGTTTTATACATTTTAAAAATAAAAAATAAAAAATATATATAATTACAACACTGTCTAACATTGACAAACCAAACCGTATACTGTATTACGTGCTAGGGTTTGGGCAATTGCTCGCTCAACAACAATAATGCTTTTTACTAATTTTAGCTTCGAGCCACGTTGGCAACAGATTTAGATCTGAACCGTGAACTCACCTGTGACGAGTAAAGGTGTAAATAAGGATTTCAACTTTACATTTTTTTTTATTTAAGGATGTTAACTTTGTTAGTTTCTAATAAAGATGTCAACTTTCAATTTTTTTTTTTCTAAATAAGGATGTTAACTTTGTCAGTTTCTAAATAAAGATGTCAACTTTCAACATTTTCTATTTAAGGATGTCAACTTTCAACTTTTTCTATTTAAGGATTAATTGAATAGTGATACTGACGTGGCTAACATATTTTTTAGGTTAAATACCTGAATTGGTCCCTCAACTTTTATTTTTGAACCAATTCATCGTTGAACTTCAGAAAGTACCAAAAACGTCATTCAACTTCAATTTTCAATTAATAAAATTATTTCCTAATTCATGGAAGAATTAATTAAATTTTATTTAATTTTATTAAATGGTAGGTGGGACTAATTAAATGGGAAAATATATTAATTATTT